GCCAGATTTCATATTTAGCTCAGAATTTGTACATAAAGGACAAGGAAAAGCAGATTTCGTGTTTAGGTAGTGCAGAATTTGTTTTAAAAAGACAAAAAATGGCTGATTTCATGTTTAGGTAGTGCAGAATTTGTCTGAAAAGGACGAGAAAGGGCTCATTTAATGTTTTAGATTGATTAAGCTGAGCTGGCCGTGGGCCCAGGCTTCACCTGGGGCTGGGCCAGAGCTTGTGTTGATTCCAAAGGTTTTCCCAGCAGCCCTGACCCCCTTGGAAAAGCTCTTTTGGAAAATCCTCCTCGTGCAGGGCCACGGGCAGCAATGGGAGGACACAAATTTTCATTTTTAAGTGGCTTTGCAGCTGTGAAGTCCAGGAAAAATCCCATTGAAGCTTCCCTATAAATCCCAAAAAAAATCTGTTTTAAAAGGCTTGACCTCGTCACCCAGCAGGCTTTTGTTGGCACAAATCTAAGGACAGGTTAATTAACCTCTGAAAGGTTAATTTTGGGGTTATCAGGTTGCAAAATCCTCAGGCAAAGGTTTTTTGCAGTCCTTGAATCCTTCCCATGTTGTGTGTGGAGTTGGAGTCAGCACTGAGTTGAGATATTCTCTTTAAATAAATGAATATCACATAAATACTGAGTCTAATTAAGTAATACATGAGGAAATAAATCTAAAAGCAGACCTGCGCTTAATTAGCCTTCAGGTTTTTGTTTAAAAAATAAGTTTGCTCCAAGCCAATAAAAATTTTAGTGAAATTAAGAATAAATACTTTCAAGTTAGTATTTACATACTTGATCTGGGGGTCAGAATTTGTGGGGAATTCATTTTTACATCCCCCACCCTTGTCTTTTAACAATCCTGGTAATCAAAGCAGTATTTAAAAACAAGGTGGATAAACAGCAGTTTCTGTGCAGCAGAAGCTGAAATACCTGATTAAACGTAAAGGGCTAAAAGGTTTAGTTCCTGCAAAATCACTCAAAACCTCAAGTGTGACAAGTCATGATTAGGATTGGTCAAAATTTGGTCAAATATAGTCAAAATTTCAGATGTTCAAAGAGGGAAATACCAAAACAGAGTCTGTGATGGAAGAGTTTCCTGCCAGAATACAGCAGGCAAAAGTGTGGGCTCAAGTTTAACACACAGGGAGAATATGGATTATCGAAGCAAAAAGTGGTTTTGCCTGAAATAACTCCCATTTTCTCGTGTTCAGGAGTTCACAGATAGCTGTGTCAACATTTCCTCTGTTTGCTTTACACTTGGATCTGGTGTGAAACCAAGAACCAGCTGGTTCCTTTCTGGTTTTCCTTCTGCTCCTGCTGGGGTTTGTGGCAAGAATTTAAAATCCTTTTAAATTCTCCTGCTTTTCCAGCATTTGTTGGGAGTGTCATGGTGAATCCCAGGGCTGGCTGCAGCAGAATTTTAATGGGATTTTTGGGAACTTTGATTTTATAACCAGAATATGGATGCATATTTAGTGCAGGTCTGCTTTTAGATTTATTTCCTCACGTGTTACATGAGCCACTCAGTATTTGTGTGCTGCTCATTTATTTAATGAGGATTTCCCAGTGTTTGTGGCAAGCATTTAAAATCCTTGTTTGGCATTTAAAATGCCAGTGTTTGTGGCAAAAATTTCAAAATTTTGACTAAATATAGTCAACATTTCACACCTGAAATTTTGACTATATTTACCCAATTTTTGACCAGTCCTAATCATTACTTGTCACACTTGAGGTTTTTGAGTGATTGGGCAGGAACTGAACCCTTTCAGCCCTTTACATTTCCTCTCAGATGTGATTCCTGGCTCCCTGTTTTCCAACAGGGCAAGGAGTGCTTTTTTTTAAATCAGTCAGCAAATTGGACTTTAATTGTCTGCTCCACTGAAGGCTTTTAATAGTGATATTTTTTTAAATAGATGTGTTTGTAATTTATTTTGGGATTTTCCAGGATCATTAAGCTGGCACAGGCTGGGGCAGTGAATATTCCTTTAAAGCAGATTTGTGTCAAATCTGCAGTGGAACCACAGAGTTATTTTTGTATGCCTTGTATAAGTCTGAAATTTTGTTTTCTTGATGAAAAAATATATATAAATTTTCTATTTCCTGCTGCTGTGGTTTGTACAAAGAATAACCAGTGATGCTTTATTTACCTGTATATAGAGAAAAAGGCCCCTGGCCTGTTTTTAATTCAGGTTTAAAGGATTTAATTCTTATTTTTAACTTTGTATTTTGTAAATTGTTCCTTACAAAAGCAGAAGCATTAAACACCACTTTGGCTGCAGCATGGAATTGTCTGGCTGTGTCATTCCATGAGTGATTTCTGAGGAATAAAGATAAATAAAACCTCTGATGAGGAGAATAAATATATTATTATGAGAATAATAATAATTAGGAGAATAAATATATTATTTATGTCATGTAAAATCTTTGTAGTAGGTTTAGGTGCTGACTTCATTAATTTGATGGTAATTACAGGTCCACTTGGCATCTTGACTGCCAAAAGGAGATGGAAAATCAAAATATTGGGATAAGTGGGGTTTAAAGGCAACCTGGATTTGACAAAGCCAAGACTTGAAATACATACAGTTAATATATTTAAATATATATATAGAGAGAGTTTTATATATATATATATATATATGGTTAACTGTGTATATATATATAGTTAACTGTGTCTATATATATATATATATATATATACATATACACAGTTAATATATTTATTTTTGTTTCTTTTAGATGTTATAATTTATTGAATAGATTTCAAATCCGTGGTGTTTATGTCTAAATTAGTTGCTTTAAACCTCAGCCTTCTCCTGGGAGCGTGGTGTGATACCTGATTCAGAGTCCCACATAAATGACTCTGCCTTTGCCTTGATTGCTGCAGATAATTATCAGTTATCACTCACAGTGGGCATTTCCTCCCACTCCCAACTTGCACCCAGGTCCCTGTGTGTCCATTCTGGGGCTCTGGGCAGGACCAGGGCTGGGGCTTTGGGCAAAGGGATTTTCCTGGGGATTCCTGCATGGGCAGGAATTGTCACTCCCAGGGGCTTGGCCAGGGCTCCAGCAGCTCCCCCAGCCCGGGGACAGCAAAATTCCTCAGCCATTCCTCTCCCCTCCTGAGCCGTTCCCAGCTCTTCCCAAGGAAGTAAAAGCAGCAGTGGCCGCAATGTTTAAAAACACTGAAAAATAAAAAATGCCAAGAAGATGCAACAGTCACAGAATTGTTCAAGTTGGAAAAGGCTCCGAGTCCATCAAATCCAACCATTCCCAGCCCTGCCCAGGCCACCCCTGACCACATCCCCAGGTGCCACCTGCACAGGGCTGTTAAACCCTCCAGGGATGGGCACTCCAGCCCTTTCCAGAAAGGAATTTTCCCAGTATCCATCC